GCTAGGTTGATACTACGCGTTGCGGTGCTCCTCTACGCCATGCCATGCCGTGCTCTACAATGCATCGCGTACCCTTTCGGGATCATTGCCCTGCTCGACATCCGACTGAGCGAGTAGAGAGGGGATCTGCGCCATGGTAAGGGATGGGAGGGAGGGGTAGGTTGTCAGATATGACGCGAGCGCACCTAGCTTGTCCTCCTCCTCCTCCTCCTCCTCCTCCCTCGGCCTGCCGCTACTGCGGCGTCCTCCGTTGCCTTTTCGCTCAAGCCTGATATCTCTTGTCAGCTCGGGCAGCTCTACGGCTCCTGGGTTGCATCAGTTGAGGCCACTGTTCACGCGCACCATGGTCAGGCCTTTCTTCGGTGGCTCCCGCGCAGAAGGGCCCGAGTTTCGAGTGGTACCAGTTCGGGAGCAGCAGAGCAAGCGGTGTGCAGCGCTGAGGGACCTCAGCAATTCGTGGTGGACCAGGCTGCACACCATCCTTCAGAACATCTACAGGCGCAGGGCGAGGGGCAACGGGCAGTGGCAGCTGGACCAGCTCTACGCGTGTGTCGAGAAGATCACGACCGACGCGCCCAGCCAGGTCCCAGGACAGCTGCGGCATCGAGACGGAGATCGGTGGGTTCAGTGGGCCGATTTCCTCGGCCGAATACGTGCTGCAGCCGACGTCGAGGTCGTGAGCTACACCAGCAAGGCAGCTGCCGTCGCGCGCCGCGCGCAGCAGCGGGCAGTGAGGAAATCCCTCCGTGACTTCCGCGAGTGGGCCGTCACGGAGCCCGCCATCGGAGCGCTGCATAGGTCACTACGGCCTCAGCATCAGCCTGCTGAGTCTGTCGTCACCGAGGCGGGCACCATCGTCCACCCTCGTGACTTGATCGATCGGGAGGTCAGCACCTGGGCCGAGCTGTGGGCGCCGCGGGCCCCCGATAGTGCTGGTCTCGGGGCTCTTTTCGACGCCATCCGTCAGCGCATTCAGGGGGGGGGGCCTGCCACCACTCACGGCGCAGGACGTGAGACAAGGGCTTCGGCGCCAGCGGGCATCCACTGCCATGGGCGCTGACAGGCTCAGGCCGACTGACCTCCTCAGGCTGCCCGATCCAGCGCTTGAGGAGCTCGCCACCATCCTCAACCTCGTCGAGCAGGGGCAGACTTGGCCCCACCAACTCCTCCTGACAGTGGGGGTCATGGGGGCCAAGAAGGATGGGGGCGATCGTATTATTGGAATTTTACCAGAGATTGCCAGACTGTGATCCATGTGCCGCGAGGACGCAGTGCAGGAGTGGAACAATGAGTGTTTCGCGCACTGGGACGCGGCGGCCAAGGGGAACTCAGCGCTGCGGGAGGCGTACCGGCGAGCACTGCATGAGGAGCTCGCAGCGTACGTCCAGACATCTCAGGCCCACGGCCTGCTAGACGTTGCGCAGTTCTACGACAGCATCGAGTGGTGCAGGCTGGGCGAAGAAGCTCTCGAGGTAGACTTCCCAGCGGAGGTCTTGGGCCTCGAGATCCTACAGTGCACTGCGCCCCGTGTCCCCATGCAGAGCGGCGCATGTGCGCTGGGCATCTTCCCCAGCCGATCGGTCGTGCAGGGCCTGCGGTCGGGGGCCAGGTTCGCCAAGGTGATGACTTTCAGGGCTCTCAAGAAGATCACGGAGGTCCACTGGCGGCATTCCCATCGCATATGGGTCGACGACCTCTCTCAACGCATGCAGGGCTCACGACGGGCAATACGTCGGCACATGGTGCGGTGTCTAACAGACACGTGTGCTGAGCTCGGTGCACGGGGACATAGCATTGCCAAGAAGAGCGTCATCATCTGTTCGGACATGGATGACGCCAGGTTCATCGCGGGGGCCATGGAGCGCAGGGGCTACCCCATCCAGTGCAAGAGCCATGCCAGCTACCTCGGCACCGACCTCGGTGCTGGAGTTCGACACGCTCGGACCAACCGCACGCAGCGGCTGACTCGACACGGCCTCATGCACAGGGAGATCGTGCGCCTGGCGCGGGCCACCACAAGGTACCGTGTCACGGGCCGACTCGCCCAGCAGGGCGGACAGGCCGCGGGCGCATGCGGTCACCAGATTCACGGAGTTTACGGCACGTCACTGATGTTGTTCCGACGACGACTCGGCGACGCAGTAGGCCCTCGCCTACCTGGGCGGTGCCTGACCACTCTCCTCGACTTCAGAACGGAGCAGCGCGATCCTGCTCGACGTTTTCCTCGAGAGGCCGCCCAGGAGTGGTTGGGGCACTGGGTGCAAGCAGGGCCGTTGCAGAAGACGATCCGGTTCACATGGGGCAAGGTTGTCGACCACCTCCGAGCCATGCCGGCACAGCAACGGGCCAGACATGTGCGAGGGCCCCAGGCAGCCATCGTCCTCTATCTGCTCGAGAATGGCTGGGGCCCTGTACAGCCCAAGGAGTGGAGGCTACCAGGGGCCCTCGCCGACGGCACTGACACGTGGGAGTTTAAGACGGAGGCGCTGTCGGGGGTTCCAGCTGTGGACACCCCAGAGGCGCTGCTCACCGACCTGGACAACAGCATCCAGGACAGGTACTGGCGACAAGCCAGCAAGCATCACGGCGGCGGTGGCGTGGAGGGCGGAGTCGACAACCACTCCTACCGACGGCTGCTGAGGTACCTCGAGTCCCTGAGGAACGGCGTACGCCTCGCGACGCTCATGCTGGGCATCGCCACAGGGGCCATGTGGCCCAAGGCCCGTGTTCGGGCCGAGGTCACGGACGCCGACACCGATTGCTACTGTGGGCGATGCGGCGAGGCTGAGGACACGGAGTTTCATCGAGCGTGGCAGTGCCGTTGCCGAGTTGAGTGCCCGATCTACGAGGGTGCCGACGACCTCGTCGCAGAGGCCACGGCGCAGCAGCACATGTACGAATGCTACTGGACACGGGGGCTCATCCCACGCAGCTGGACAGCCCTGCCGCCTCCCGTGGCGCACGAATGTTGGGAAGTCCACGGAGCTGATGAGTGCGGCCCAGGATGTTTCAGCAGTTGGCATGGCGAACCCGCCTATGTTTTTGGCGACGGCAGCGGCGGGGGTGACGCATCCAGCTCACCCCTTCATCGGGTCGGCGTCGGCATCGCAGTATTTCACGATCTAGCCAAGAACGCCGTGGACATGCAGGGTGCGGCCTGGGGGCCTCTTCCAGGCTGCCGACAGACTGTCATCCGCGGCGAGCTTATGGCGCTGCTGATGGCCCCCACGACTACGACGGGCGACCTGGTCTACTTCACTGACAGCGAGGGTGTCTACCTTACCTACCACAATGGCCATCGTGAGACGGCCAAGGGCGCGGATGCAGACTTGTGGTATCGTGTTCGAGAGGCCGTCCGAGAACGGCGTGCTGATGTGATTGTGATGTGTATACGGTCCCACATGACCGAGGCCGCCATCTGTTCTGGGAAAATCAGCAGCTCCCTTGCCTACGGCAACACCGTCGCTGATGAACTCGCCGCTGGAGCGGCTCGTGAATGCAGGGTCCCCAAGCACGCTCGCCAGGAGTATGCCCGTGTTGAGCAGAAAGCGTTTTCGGTCAGTTTGAGGATCCTCAGGGCCCACATTGATGCTCTTGAGGCCTACAGAGTAGCCCACCCAGAGGGCCCTCGACGTATGAGACCGAAGCCTAAGGCTCCAGCCCAACCGCCTGCCCCGCAGTGTGTGCCGCCTTTTCTTCGCAACACACAATCTGGACAGCACTGGCAGTAGGTGCAGCATGTGCCAGAACTCTGCCTCGCTTGCTCGCAGGACTGAATGGCTCGGCATCAGTTGCTACGACTTTGAGAACATTGATGGCACTTATATGAGATCCCCCCCCTCGGGAAGCAGGTACATGTGGCGGGGGGATTTGCTCATTTAACCCATCGTTTAAGGTTCCACACTGGGCTGAAATTGTGGTTTTGTTCTCGCTGCGGGGTGTACGCCTCCCGACAGATCGGGAAGTTAGCCGTCGCATGTGACGCACCCACCGCCACAGGGCGGGAGTGTGTACGTCGTATTGCAATGGGGTCCTGGCCCAAAGCGCTCAGCAAAGCTGAGACCATCCAGAGAGTGGGGGAGCAACAGGCACCTCAGTAGGTGCCAGCGGACCTTCATATTCATGTCGCTACGCGATCAGGCAGAGTCTCCAGAGTCTCCTCCTCCTCCCCCTGCTCCCTCCTCCCCCTCCTCCTCGTCCTCCTCCTCCGCCTCCGCCCTGGGGCATTCCCACGCCGTCCGTCTTGGGCGCGATGTTTTTTTTTCCGAGCTCTCCCGAAGGGGTTCAGTAGAACCATCTTGGGCCCGTCTGCGCTGGTCTTTGGGGCCGTCTCGTGGTTGTCGTGGCTCGGGATTGGGCAGTCTTCAGGTGTCCCTGGGCCGTACTGGCGCCAGCTTGGAATCGTCGTGGGCCGTTTTCGTAAGCGGGCTTTCTGATATGAAGATATGGCAGGAGGACATCTCCTAGGATATTCAATGGTACCTCTTTTTTTCCAGCTGCCTGCGCTTTGTCTCAAGAAGCGCGCCCCCAGTGTGATCAGTTGTGCGGCAGGTCGCCCGACAGCCGACTCCACTGGCAACCTCTCGGACAAACACCGAAGGCCTCCATCTTAGCCAGGGTCACCCTTGCGTGTAGCCGACGAGGAGAGGGCGCAGCGCGCCTCCTCCTCCTCCTCCTCCTCCTCCTCCTCCTCCTCCTCCTCTTCCTCCCCGTCCTGCTCCTCCTCCTCCTCCTCCTCCTCCTCCTCCCCCTCCTCCCCCCTCCTGCTCCTCCTCCTCCCCCTCCTGCTCCTCCTCCTCCTCCTCCTCCTCCTCCTCCTCCTCCTCCTCCTCCTCCTCTCCTCCTCCTCCTCCTCCTCCTCCTCCTCCTCCTCCTCCTCCTCCTCCTCCTCCTCCTCCTCCTCCCCCTGCTCCCTCCCCTCCCCTCCTCCTCCTCCTCCTCCTCCTCCTCCTCCTCCTCCTCCTCCTCCTCCTCCTCCTCCTCCTCCTCCCCCGCGCCAGGAGCTCAGCGAGGTGCGGGGGACGCCGTCCCGGGCCTTCCACGAGAAGGCCCCGCGCTTCCCCCGCGCCCTGGGCGGCCGGCCTCGAGGCGATCGGCCTCGAGGACCTCGAGATCTCGAGGACCGAGGATCCGATCCCAGACCCCCTCGAGGCATGAACAGGAATCACGACGGGAGGTTTTTAGGTATGTTCGGCCTCTGGGGGCCCTCACCGGGCCTCGGGGCCGTGAAAGACACCGCTCAGGATGAAACGCCTGTGTCCCGGGGAGTGGGTCTGGACCTCTGGGGGGGGTCGACGTGAAAGAATCGTGACGTCGAGGGCCTGGGATCTCGGCCCCTGGAGCCCGTGAGTCTTTGGCTCCGGCCCCAGAGGCCCCTTTGTATATGGGGCTCCAGGGCCATCGGCGATGCCTCGGGGGCGAAACAGCTGCCCCCCCCCCAAGGGAGGCGGTCGAGGCCTCTGGGACATCGAGCCGAGGAAACACCAGGCCGGCGAATGCTTGAGCAGGAGAAGCGCCCCGAGGGCTTGATGGCATTTGAAATCCCACCGGCTCGCGGGGAGCAAGCCAGGCACATCGAGGCAGGTCCAACTGCATCGAGGCAGGTTCAGATTACCAAGTCGAGGTATATCCAGAGATCCCCAGGAGAAGCTGGGGGCAAGCCGTCGACGCTCGTCCGAGGCGGGGAACTGTCCATGGCCACCGCACGGGGGATCCGTTTTCGCGGGCCTCCACGGGCGCTGGATGTGGATCTGTGCGGGCCCCCCGGGGGCCAGAACATATCTTCGGATCCAACGCCCGCTGGGGCACGGGGACGTCGGTTCCCAGGGGGTGGCTATGGGTGAGTCCCCGCCTCGCAGCTCGAGCGCGAGTCGAGGGACGGTTCCGCCCCCAGCGAGGCGGGAGGCGGGCGGGGGGTGCGCGTCGTGCTCGTCGGGCCCGCAGCCGACGCCTGCCCGAGCGGCTCGCACAGCAGGCGGCCCCTCCAGGGCCGGCCGGGGCGACACAGGCCTCCTCCTCCTCCTCCTCCTCCTCCTCCTGCTCCTCCTCCAGGAGTCGTCGTCGTCGTCGTCGTCGTCGTCGTCGTCGTCGTCGTCGTCGTCGTCGTCGTCGTCGCTCGTCGCTCGTCGCTCGTTGCGGAAGCGTCTACGCACCTACCTCGCGACGTTGCCGCCAGCGAGGATGTGCTCACGGGCGCGTGGACTACGAGCCACAGACGGCCCTAGAGGCCCCTCCAGGGCCAGCCGGGGCGACACAGGCCTCCTCCTCCTCCAGGAGGAGGAGGAGGATGTGGAGGAGTCGGAGTCGGAGTCGGAGTCGGAGTCGGAGTCGGAGTCGGAGGAGGAGGAGGAGGAGGAGGAGGCGGACTCCTCCTCCTCCTCCTCCTCCTCCTCCTCCTCCTCCTCCTCCTCATCCTCATCCTCATCCTCCTCCTCCTCCTCCTCCTCCTTCCTCCACCCCTTCTCCTTGTGCAATGGCTTTCGGCCCATCCCACCACCATGCCTGGGTTGTGGGTCAGAGTTCTCAGGGATGCTTCTTGGGGTCTCTTCGGAGCGCTCTCGGGGGCCTCTTGGGGGCAGTTTCAGGGTCTCTTGGGAGTCTCTTGGGAGCCTCTTGGGGGCCTCTTGGGGCCTCCTGGGGGCCTCTTGGGTGGGGGGCCTCTTGGGAGCCTCTTAGGGGGCCTCCTGGGGGCCTTCTGGGGGCTCCTCGGGGCAGAGGGCTCGAAATGTATGTTCGGGTCCCCCATGGTGGCCCCCTCTTGGGGCCGTCTTTGGGGCCTCTTGGGGCCGTCTTGGGCGCGTCTCAGGCCGTCTTGGGGCCTTCTTGGGCCGCTTTGGGGCTCCCTTGGAGGCCGCTTGGGCCGCATTGGGGCGATCTTGGGGGCCTCCAGGGCCGTCTGGGAGCGTCGAGAAAGCGAAGAGGCGAGGCAGCCATACACCTCCAAAGACCAAAGGAACATCAATGATCTTGGCTTCTTGGGGCCCTCTTGGAGGCCTCTTGGGGCGTCTTGGAGGCCTCTTGGGGCGTCTGGGGGTCATCTTGAGTGTCTTGGGGCGATCGTTCGGCGACTCGGGGCTTCCTTGGACCGTCTTCAGGGCCCTCCTCTGCCCTCTTGGCCCGTCTTGGGGCCCTCGTGAGCCCGAAAAATTCACGCGCCACCACGCGACGGGGCCCAGGGTAAACTCCTCAGGGATGAGGACAAAGGCCAGAGGGTTAGGCAAATGACCTGAGGACCTGCCCACTCCAAGACGTCGGTAGGGCGGGACGGGCGTTTCGCCTGGGAGTTCCGCACCATTTGTGATCCTGAAGCTTGAAATTTGGACCAGTTTCAAGAATGGAGGGCAGTGCGGCTCGTTTTCAATGTGGCTCTCGCCCCAGCGCTGCGCACATTCGTTTTAAAAGTTTGCAGCAGTTTGAAGGGTTCGTATGGTTAACGTCCCAAGAATTGTCTTCTGGCGCGATTAGGATAGGCAAGGCGCAACAATCAGGTTGGTTCGTGGTGTTGAAGTCCCAGGAAGGATGTTCTGGCGCGATTTAGGTTAGTCAGGACGCAACAATCATGTTGAGTCTGGGCGTTGAAGTCCCAGGACGTGGTGCTTTGGTACGAATGATGAATTTCAGACGGTTGCCTTCCTACTGGGCACTTTCCGCAATGCAGCAAACAGTTGTCTAGGGACCTATGAAGAGGGAACTTGGAGAGAGGGTTGACTGCAACATCGTTGATACGCCTTGGTTCATTTTGGTCATCCTCCTGCTCCTCCTGCTCCTCCTCCTCCTCCTTCTCCTCCTCCTCCTCCTCCTCCTCCTCCTCCCCCTCCTCCTCCTCCTCCTCCTTCTCCTCCCCCTCCTCCTCCACCTCCTCCTCCTCCTCCCCCCCCTCCTCCTCCTCCGCCTCCTCCGCCTCCTCCTCCTCCTCCCCCTCCTCCTCCTCCCCGACTGCGGCGCCCCCTCCAGCGCTGCGGCCGCCGGGCCGCCCGCGCGATGCTGCGCCTCTGCCTGCGGCAGGCCGCCGGCCCGGCGGGCGCCCTGCGGCGCGGCTGCCGCGCTGCGCCGGGGCACCTCGGCCGCCGCACGGCCGCCGAGCGCGCGGCGCGCGGCGCGGCGAGCGGCGGGGCAGCAGCAGCGAGAAGTCGTGCACCCGGAGGCCGCGCCAGGACGGCGACGACGACGGCGGCGGCGACGACGGCGGCGCCGACGGCGACGACGACGACGACGACGACGACCACGACGACGACGAACACGACCACGACCACGACCACGACGGCGACGACGGCGACGACGACGACGACGACGACGGCGACGACGGCGACGACGACGACGACGAGTGCGTACGGTCAAGGCGTACACCTGGAGCTGTGCAGGACAGGAGTGTGGAGCAGTCGATGAGCTCTGATCTTTGGGAAGCGAGCAATGACACAAGCACGAACTTTTGGAGGTCCGCGCGGCTTTCTCGGATCCGTGCTGGGCCCTCCGTGGTGGCGCCTCCAGCGCCGCCTCCGGCGCGCTCCGCGCGCCAGGGAGGGGTGTCTAGCGCAGATGCAATACATCCGCGCGAACCTCCGAAAGCGTATGTTGATGTGACTGTTTGTCCGTGCAGTCAAGGCGCTGAAATAAAAGAACCACTTTGGGGTCAGCCAGGGTTCCGGTCTTCGGGCCGCTCCTTAGATCTAGGTCGGGGAGCATATTCTAAGCCGAGGCTCGCCGTGTCCAGAAAAAGCCCCTTCGTTCCTTACTCCGCGTTCCCCATGGCAGCACGATGGCAGTAGGACGCACGATGGCAGTGGGACGCGAGTGTAGAATAGTTATGAACTCTTCTCTCGCCTCGGGATCGGGGATCGGTCGCCCCGAAGTTGTTGCCCAGGCAGGAAGGCGAGAAGCCGAAGGGGAGGAGGGGGAGAGTGGGGAAGGCAGGGGGAAGAGGAGGGAGGGGGAGGGGGGGAGGGGGGAAGGGGGGCAGAGGGAGGAAAGGGGAGGGGAGAGGGCAAGCTAGGTGCGCTCGCGTCGTATCGGACATCCTACACCTCCCTCCCATCCCTTACCATGGCGTAGATCCCCTCTCTACTCGCACAGTCGGATGTCGAGCAGGGCAATGATCCCGAAAGGGTACGGGATGCATTGTAGAGCACGGCATGGCATGGCGTAGAAGAGCACCGCAAAGCGTAGTATGTCACAGCATGGCGTGGCGTGGCGTAGTGAAGAATTGCATCAGAAAGCTTTGCAACGCAAAGCATGGCATCGCACAGCGGCCCCGAACATAACATTGCATAGCATGGCGTTGAAGATCAAAGCGTAGCATGGCATAGCACGACGTGGCACTTAAGCACTGCATATCACAGCTTCAGCTGAAGGCATGGCATCGCGCAGCGGAACGCAACCTAGCATTGCATTGCATGCCGTGGCATGGCACGGGAAATGACGCCAGCGCTGCAGCGGGAGCACGATTCGGAACGAGCGGAAGCGCGGAAATGAGGCCAGCGCTGCAGCGGGAGCACGATTCGGAACGAGCGGAAGCACGGAAATGAGGCCAGCGCTGCAGCGGGAGCACGATTCGGAACGAGCGGGGCCCGAAAATGAGGCCGGCGCCTCAGCGAGAGCAGCATTTTGAAAAAAATGCAGGCGAAAACCAATCTCCGGGGAATCCTGTGTAAAAAAACAGTACGCGGGGGGGGGGGCGAACACTCCCAACCCGTCATCAGGGGAAGGAGGAGAGTAGTATTCATATTGAGCAATCGTGGAGAGGGGGAGAGGGAAGGAAGGATAGGAGGGGGGGGAGAGGGGGGAGGGGAGGGGGAAGAGGAGGAGCAGAGGGAGACAGCGAGGGAGAGAGGAGGCACAGGCACCGATGCCGCCTTGCCTCTTTTTGTTGTTGTTGTTGTTGTTGTTGTTGTTGTTGTTGTTGTTGGTGTTGTTGTTGTTGAACATTAATTCTTCTAAAGAATAATTATTGTTGGGACCCCTGGTGCGCGGCCCCCTCGCCGCGCCTAGGCCGCAGCCATGTTTTCATCATTTTCGTGAGGAAGTCTCAGGCAAAACGGGGCGTCCGGATCCG